CCCAAATTTGCCTTTACGCCCTTTTTTGGATCAAATGGAGATCAATACAATTCTGAGACACTTTGGGACATTCCAGATGAGGAAACAAAGAAGATTGAAAATATTCATTTTTGGCAAAAATGATGAGCTAACCCCTTGCCATTTTTCTCAAAAAGTGACGATTTTCGAATTTCCCCCAATTTGCCTTAACAACCTTTTCGGGATCAAACGGGGTTCCATACGATTCTGAGACACTTTGGACATTCACGATGAGGAAACAAAGAAGATTGAAAATATTCATTTTTGGCAAAAATGATGAGCTAACCCCTTGCCATTTTTCTCAAAAAGTGACGATTTTCGAATTTACCCCAAATTTGCCTGAACACCCTTTTTGGGATCAAACGGGGTTCCATACGATTCTGAGACACTTTGGGACATTCACAGATGAGGAAACAAAGAAGATTGAAAATATTTATTTTTTGGCAAAAGATGAGCTAACTCCTTGCCATTTTTTCAAAAAGTGACGATTTTCGAATTTACCCCAAATTTGCCTGAACAACCTTTTCGGGATCAAACGGGGATCCATACAATTCTGAGACACTTTGGGACATTCCAGATGAGGAAACAAAGAAGATTGAAAATATTCATTTTTTGGCAAAAATGATGAGCTAACCCCTTGCCATTTTTCTCAAAAAGTGACGATTTTTCGAATTTACCCCAAATTTGCCTGAACACCCTTTTTGGGATCAAACAGGGTTCCATACGATTCTGAGACACTTTGGGACATTCACGATGAGGAAACAAAGAAGATTGAAAATATTCATTTTTTGGCAAAAATGATGAGCTAACCCCTGCCATTTTTCTCAAAAAGTGACGATTTTCGAATTTCCCCCAAATTTGCCTTACGCCCTTTTTTGGATCAAATGGAGATCAATACAATTCTGAGACACTTTGGGACATTCCAGATGAGGAAAAAAGAAGATTTAAAATATTCATTTTTTGGCAAAAATGATGAGCTAACCCTTGCCATTTTTCTCAAAAAGTGACGATTTTCGAATTTCCCCAATTTTGCCTTAACGCCCTTTTTTTGGATCAAATGGAGATCAATACAATTCTGAGACACTTTGGGACATTCCAGATGAGGAAATAAAGAAGATTGAAAATATTCATTTTTGGCAAAAATGATGCCATTTTTGTCAAAAAGTGACGATTTTTGAATTTCCCCCATATTTGCCTTAACATCCCTTTTTTTGGGGTACAGAGCACAATTTTTTTTTTTTTTTTGCTCCTGACAATTTGAAAATCGCGCCTGCCGAAAATTCGCTCAGTGGGGGGGGGGGGGGGGGGGGGGTAGTGAGCACATTTTTTTTTTGATCCTCAAAAAATTTCAATTTGCACCCCCCCCCCCCCCTTTTGAGCGCCAGGGGGGCCCAACCCCCCAAAAAGGTAAAAACCACGTGATTTTACATGATTTTTTTTTCTCAAGGGGGGGCCGGGCCCCCCGGCCCCCCCCCCCCCCCCCTCCCTGGATCCGCCACTGGTCCAAAGACAGTCCTGAGTCAGGACTAATATTTAGCATGTTATTAATTTTATACCACTCTTATATTCTCTGAAATGTTTCTTTATTGAGGGTGACTTGAAAAAGTTAATAGCTTGGAAGGGAGGGGGTGCACCTGCCCACACGCGTCTACCTCTTGGTTGCTTTGATCCATTGCCCCCCCCCCCCCCCTTGCACGGATACAAATCGACACCCTGGTCCTGACTGTTTGCTAGAATCATCCAAATATGTTTCCCTTTCATTTGAATATCAAGTTGAACGCTAAGCTTAATTGCACAGTTAAAAAACAAAGAGAAAAGGCTAATAAATAATTATACACAAATAAAAAAAGATGAAAGATATAGTCGGGAAGATAGTACGCGGTCGTCCCTGCATGACGGTAAATTTATGACCAGTCGATTAGGTAGGCCTACAGTTTACATACTGTGGTCTATACAGTGAAGGAGAAGGAGAAATATGGACGAGGAGAGTAAGAGACCGAGGAGGAGGGTAGAAGCTAGATAAGAAGAAAATTAAGTGGCAGAAAAAGAAGAATACCAGCTTACATTCACTTTACAAATCGTCTTGTATCATTATTATTTTTATAAATATTTCTTCAGATTCCCAATGTGCAAGAGCGAATTGATGAGGAGGCCGCAGAGTAAATAAAAGACAGGAGGCTTAGACGTTATGTATAAACAAAAAAGAAAAGAAATTAAAGTGGAGTCGAAGAACTGAGACCAGGGATCGGATGACGGGTGCTACTATAAAAGAGGATCATTCATTCATGCAGGCATTCACAGTGTTATATCGAAGGGCATGTCGTGGCAGCTTTGCTCTCTTGGACTTTGAAGTATGGCATCACTGAATCCCCGGTCATAATCATAAGCTCATCAGTCTGCACAAAAGAACGGATTTATGAATGTTATTGGGTACATGCAGTTTCTAAAGGTTGTTTTCCAAAATGAAAGAAGGTTAATAATTCCGAAAATGATTAGGTAGTAATGTAATTCCCCAAAATGATAAGGATTAGATGCTGCTTGTAAGTGAAGGGGGGGGGGGGGGGGGGGGGGGGTAGGGGGGGGGGGGGGGGGGGGGTGGTAAGAGGACACTTTTTTTTTTTTTTGGTCTCGAAATTTGAAAAATTGACATTTGGCTCCGTTGGGGGAGGGGGGTAAGGTCACCTTTTTAGGTCAGCCATGGGAATAATCCCTGTCTGTGCACAATATTGTTTTCAAGAATATAGAATTTGTGTATTAATTTTAGAATTTTTATTTATTCATTCATGTTATCTATGTCGGCCTAGTTTTTATTCATTATAAATTCTTTATTAGTTCATTCACTCAAAATATTTGTATTTAATTACCCAATCATACTATAAGATCGCAGTGCGAAAAATTACATTTTATTTTTAAAAAGGGCAAACAAATCCTGATTGGTTTTAAGCACAATCTAATTATGCAAGACTGTAAAGACCTTTGATATGAAAAAATCAACTATAAATGCGAATGAGCAATAAGGTGGTGGGGGGGGTTAAGAAAAATTTGCTCTAAAGCGCTTTAAATTAGGGGTGCATGGGCACTTCTCTCACCTGAAAAAGAGTTACTCACCAGAATCAGTTTCTTACTTTCTGTTGCATGAAAATGGGCACTCACCAGAAACAGTTTCTGGTGAGTGCCCCTTTTCAGGTAAGAGAAGTGCCCCAGAGATTTGAAAAGGCATTTATGAGATTGGAAAGGGGCATTTTGTCGAAATTAAAGGGGCACCCATATCAGCTTTAAATATCGGCCTTTATCATTGGTGAAAAAGGGGCAGTTATGAGAAGGGAAGGGGTTTTTAATGGAAAGGGAATTGAGCACTTATCAGAAAGAAAAGGGCACTTATTAGAAGGGGAAGGGGGCAATTATTACAAAGGAAAAGGGGAACCTCTCATATTTGAACAGGGGAACTTACCAAAGACGAAAAAGGGTACGTATGAAATTGGAAAGAGGACACATTGCAAAGGAAAAGGGGCACCTGTCAGAGTTTAACAGGAGAATTTATCAAGAGGTGAAAAGGGTCATTTATAAAAAGGGGGAGGGGCTCTTATTTAAAAAAAAATCTTATCACATGAAAAAGGGGGCATTTATTAGAAAAGATAAAGGGGATGTGCCAAATTATAAGGGGCACTTATCTGAGGTGAAAAGGGACAATTATTTATAAGAATGGGGAGGGAAACGTGTCAAACTAAAAGTGGGCACTTTTCCTATGAACGAGGAGCACTTTGAGGTGCCGTATCTGCTTGTCGTGAAATTTTTTCGACAACCTTCATGGCAGATCGGGGGTAAGGGGAGGGGGAAGGGCATGGACGACTCTCCCAGTAAGAAGATTAAAGCCCCACTGTACTACTTATAGCTACATGCGCTTTGCGCCCTATATCATGAAAGCAAAAATCGCGGGTGACCATTGGTCCCCCCATGATCCCCTTTTCTTATGATAATTGAGAGCTAATTTAATGAGATAACCACCTGTCCGAGTGACCATGGATGGAGGTCTAATCCCTCCTGGCCAAACTAGTTCAATGGGGCTTTAAAAGAAAAAATAGGCCCTTAAACCCCATTAGTCAGATTTTCGCGGACTATTATCTCGCTTGTTCCTCTAGGCCTAAACCCATCACAGATCCATGAACCCGCCCTAGCTAGATTGGTGCTAGAATAATATAATTACATCAGACCAAAAAAAAAAAAAAAACTGTTGTGCGCACTATCTGGAAAATGATTTAGAATTTAGATTGTAGAGGATAAGTTACCTCTTAAATCCGTCTCTTAATCCCCTTCTCCCAATTCCCCCCCCCCCCCCCGACAGTATAGAGTTTATTGAAATTGAATCAACAACTTTTGATTATTTCCAATAAAAGACATACAGAAACAACAACCTGTCTTTAGAAATACATGTACAATCATGAATGTAGTTTACAAAGTAATCACTACATATGGAGTTGGAATCATTCCACTAGTATTCTCATGTAGCTCTATAATCTCTCCATGGTATTATTTATACCCAATAATCATGCATAGTATACACGCGACTATGGCGCAATGCCTTTTAGTCTACAAACACAGACCCTGTAAGTACATGTTTGTATCTGACTGTGCAGTAGATCATCCCATTTACGTAGTGTACGTTACAATGGTTTGCGTGTCCCCTCCATATCAATCCCTAGAAATTCAATGTGCAAAATAATCATAGTGTTGAATTATAATAATAATGAACAAGAGTGATTGTGTGGCACCTCTTGGAAAAAAAGCAATTAAACAGACAAACCAATATTGAAATAAGTAAAACACAACTAAATAATGAAAACAGACCTGTTTGGAGCCAGAAGGACTTTAAATCATATCCGGGATCATATTATATAACAACGAGTCAACGTCCATTTCACTCAAAACAACTTTAAATTGGTGCATGCTCACAATCTTTGTGCTAATCTAATTTTATTTAATTAAAAACGCATAGTCGAAGACTAGTTTAGTACGCGCGGTGTGGATGCATGTGTTGTGAAATTTTACCGGCTGTTATCGGATAAAGGTCATATTTCTCAAATTTAGCGCTGACATAATTTTTCAAAATGGTAAAGTATGATATTTTGTTTTATATAGGATCGTATACGTGAATTTCTAATGAGGTATTTGATAATCTTGTGAATAAAAGGAGTTATAAAATAGTCGAAATGAGACAGAGAGTGCGTGACACAGAGTTGGATATATGGGCATGATGGGGTCGGCGGTGGGATGAATCTGACTAAACAGTGCACAGTGCAGTGTGTAGACTGTGGTGCACTGCATGTAACTTTTGTTATACATGTATCTAGACTCTATCGATATGCTCCTACTTTACTAGTGCCTAGGAGTGGTTGAATGATGGAAGATTGATGTTGACTAACGAGCCGTGTGATCAGATGAATATAAGAATCAAGATAAAGAAAAAAAACGCAAGATCAGAAGGCGGCGTGAATTAGGATCGTCAGCATTAACGAGGCCGGATATCCTTGTAAATGCGGACATTCTCGTAAAGACGGACTTATTGCGTCCTTAAAAAAATAAGTATCATCCGCATTTTAATGGGGATTTAAAAAGTAACAATAATTATCAGCAAGACTTTGTTGCCCCGACGGAGAACTAAAAACAATAATTATCTGCAAGACTTTGTTGCCCCGACGGAGATCTAATAACAATAATTATCGGCAAGACTTTGTTGCCCCGACAGAGAACTAAAAACAATAATTATCGGCAACACTTTATTGACCTACGAACATCTAAAACCAATAATTATTGGCAAGACTTTGTTGTCCGTATCGGCAATGAAGTCTTGTCAATAATTATTAATCTAGGAGTTCCGTAACGGCAATGAAGTGTAAAAAAAACCAAAAAAAACACATGTTACAAATTGCACCAAAATAATGGTTAAACGGAGCGAGAAATGCCAAAAGGTTTTGATGAATGCGGTCGTTTAACCGTCTGTTAAATGTTTTGACTCGGGCTTAAGATGAAACCATGTAATCGGTCACTTAATACGAAGTCACAAAATAATCTTCTTCTTCCTACTTTTTTGTCCTTCTGTGTTTTCCTTCAGAAACCTATTGCTCTCTTTGGACACGAGAGGTCTGTCACTCAGATCAAGTACAACCGTGAAGGTGACCTTCTGTTCTCCACAGCTAAAGACACAACGCCTAATATCTGGTACTCAGTCAATGGAGAGAGGTTGGGAACGTTTGAAGGCCACAGTGGAGCCGTATGGTGCATCGATGTTGACTGTATCCTTTTACTATTGACTTTCTACCCAGCTCTTCAAGGGATTGGGTATTTTTGTCTCAGATTCTGAAACAAAATCCTGGATTTAACTCATGCTGCAATCATAATTATAAACCTTTAGGTCAGTCAGGAACCTTATGTCTTTTACAAGCTGATTATCAAGATATTTATAATTGAACATTGAAATTTCAAAAACGTTTTCTCAACAGTTTTTTATAACACTACAGTCTTTTGGGTAAAATGAGCATGGTAAAACCGGTCCCTCAAAGATTTTTACTTTTCAAAGGCACTTCATGATCATTTTTAAGCGACATTTCTTTTAGGGCTTCAATAAAACACAATATCATAGACACTGATAACACGTAGGGCCATGCATCTCAGATTTAACATTGTTAAACGATGCCTTTAAGATTATAGTCAAATTGCTATTAAAATAACACAAAATTAACCACCAGAAAAATTACACTATGGGCAGCAAGACACTGCTGTGATAGAGGAAGCCACTTGTGTAGGGGTGAAATTGTCTTCAGCGCTCTGAAAAGCATTTTGTTTTTCTTGTGATGGGGGAAGAGGGGGGGGGGGGGGAGAGCATGCAAAGTATCAATCTGCAATATACACAGTTAATTGCAAAATGATTGTGACCAATCCTGTTTAAAAAAAAATTGGAGGGGGGTGGGGGTGGGGAGATGGGTTGTACTTTTGTAAAAGCACCCTGGGGCCAGTTTCTTGAATCTGTCATAAGTTGAAAATTTGTAGACATCCCATGTTCATCTTATAACACACGTTTCAATGGGATGTCTAATGGGATGTCCAAGAAGAAGACTTACGACAGTTTCGTGAAACGGGCCCCAGTTGTCTACATGTACAGATTGTATACATGCCATTAGACAACCTTAACTATGTTAATCATCAGGGGAATCGCAGAAAGCAATTACAGGGAGTGCAGATAACACATGAGGATGTGGGATATCAAAACTGGTAAGAATCTGAATGACTTTCTAGTCCTACCTCAAACTATCTTCTCCTTTTTTTTTTCTTGTGGAGTAAATTTTCTACTTACCGTATTTAACAAAAAAAAATGAAAGAAGGAAGGAACTAGACCGAGAGGGAGACCCAGAATCAACTGGGAAGAGAATGTCAAGAACTGGAGTGGACTAAAACTGCACCAGAATGGCAGAAGATAGAGTGGAGAGATGTTGCAATCAACCTCCAAACCTGGAGAAGATACTTAGATGGATAGATTTGCTAAGTGGGACCTATGGTTAGAGCTCATTCGTCTCTTTCTTCTCTTCTTACAGGTAAATGTACGACACAGCTGGAATACAAGTCCGCTGTTAGGACATGTGGATACAGCTATAGCAGTAACATCTTCTTCACAAGCACAGATCGTACTATGGGGCAGACCAGTGATTTATGTGTGTATGATCTTAGAGATCCTAGTCAAATAGGTAAGCCTATATTCTTCTTCTTCTTCTTTTTTTTTTAAAAAGTATTTTTTAAGACCATTCAAGGGTATAACAGGTGTCGGAATTATGAGAAAATACGACGTGATTCTATCCATCTTGGATTGTAGAGCTGTATTCAAGGTTTGATAGTTATTCACTTGAATTCACTGTTTCTCAAGTAAGTAGTAAAAGGAAAACATTACTGAGCACAGATCTTCTTCTTCTTCTTCTTTATGTGCCATGTCCCGAGATGTTTGCGACCATGGAATGGCACAACTCTCTGCCCCGTATTCTATGAAGTAATTCATTCTCCCCAAAATTAATTCCACTTTCAGAAATCCCACTCTTTAAGCTACTCATCCACAGAATCCTCCTTCTACCCCTACTCCTCCTCCCCTCGATTCTTTCAGTCAGTGCAAGATTTTCCAAACCATTCCGAATAACATGACCCAAGAAGCTCAGCTGGCGACCTCTTATATTATTCAAGGTTGCTGGTTACTAACAATTTTGTGCTGAACAATGGTGTAAACACTGAATTACCCCTGCTCTTGCCTGTTGCTTGAATGATTTTGCAGTGAACCTAATGCACAGGCTCTGTTGCAGTAACCTGGAAGACGAACGAAAATGACTTTAGCAATTGGTGGCACTCTATACTGTTAGTTAATTCATTCATTTTGTGTATGAAATATACACATTCACAAGAAACTTCAAATTTAATATTAATTACTTGTAGTTAAATTGATTACATTTAATGAAAATGGCATAAGAGAACTTCAGATAAAACCTAATTGGCTTTGTGAAGCTAATTTAACTTGGTACTTAGTGTTGAACTCTCAGTGTTACCAAGTGTACAATTATACACCATAACTAAAATTTCATTAGACTACTTTCTGGTCATGCTGCTTTGTGTGTTAATTGCCATTTTAATAAGAATTAAAGCTTCAGAGTTCACGAATAGCTTTTGACTTTCACAAAAAGTATTACTCCAAACATATATTACATACAATACTCGACCCAGGTGTGGTAAATGGGAACCTGGCAGGAATTAATTCCTTGAAATGCTGGAGCGCTTTAATGGCACCTTGGCTAAAGCTGGGGTAATTTCAGTGCGCCTCGGAATAGAATTTCTAGATAGACGGCGCTATAGAAATGCCTATTATTATTATTATTCATTATTGCAATAGTAACTTTGTGTCATTAAAAACCGCCCTTGGCAATGAAGGGTATTACTTACTACAAAATGTTTTTCCTGATTGATTTATTTCTAGAATCTAACAACCCGTTCATGAGGTTACCAATGGATACAGCTAAGATCACATCAGGTATATGGACCTTCCAAGACACAGCTATCCTGACTGGTCATGAGAATGGAGAACTAACACTTTGGGATATCAAGGTAATTATTATTTCCAAATTATTCGTTATCAGCCAAAGGAGAATTCTACACAAGTAATAATACTGGCACTATGAATATGTCGGACAAAAATTAAGAGGACAAAATATACAGTTCGTCATTCTACCCTCAACAATTGCTGTGGTAAACAAAGGAACATCCCTTCACTGCTATTATGTAAAAATGTATAGAACAGGTGAATATGCATGTGACATCTGTTCTACACATTTTTACATAATAGCAGTGAAGGGATGTTCCTTTGTCTACCACAGCAATTGTTGAGGGTAGAATGACGAACTGTATATTTTGTCCTCTTTCTTTGTCCGTCATGTTCATAGTGTGGATATCTTTATAGGGCTCATGTTCACCACGCTCATGTTCACGCACATGTTCATCAAGATGTTCATCTTGCACTTAGCCAATAACAAAGGCCAAGATAAATCTTTATCTCACACACTGGGCAAGTATCAGAATCACAGAAACGTAGAGCAGCAGAAGTGATAGCAAGACGCCCTCACACACAGCCTGGCGGAAATCATCGAAATCGATGGATAGCGCCAACAAACCCAGCAACAACAACAACAACAACGCAAGGTGCTGGAGGTGTTCCAGTATATTACTGCTCTAGCTAGACTACCAAGTTCATTGCTCACAGCTTTCAAGGAATTCTTTCCTATATGTCTCAATATATCTCCTGTGTGGAGAGTGGCACGTTTAGCTTAATGTCTTGCCATAATTGATTTTGATGCATGTATGGAATACTTAACTAAAGCAGCCAAATAATTAGTCTTTACAGAGGCAAGAGTTGAATTTTCATATTCATTTTCATTTTGTACTATATATGTGTAATTATGTGTATGCTCAATATTACAAATGCGTTTCCCTACATTTTTTTTTTAATAGAGAAATGCATCTTAGTATCTTATTTGGTGCTGAAATTGTTGTGAAATTAACCAAATTTATCTCTGAAGGTTTATCAGACAGGTGAAATTGATGAGATTAAATTAATTCTTATTTACTCAAAGAGATTTCTTCCAACCCTATTCTTTTTTCAAACCTTAGATGCAAGATTGCATAGGAAGCACACAAGATATTCATCAGAAGGCAATCAATGATATCCAGAAACACAGCAAGTATGACATGATAGTCACAGCATCTAAGGATTGCACAGCTAAGGTAAGATTTCAATTCATTCAATTCAAAATGGGTTATTTCAAATAAAGCTGTCATCGCGGCGTTTAGTCGAATTTAAAAAATTTACAAACAAAATTAATAACACATAATGTATTTATAACGTAGCATAACATGATATATTGAATTTGGAAAATAAATCAGTCTAAATACAAGAAATATAGCTTATTGCAACATATGGAAAGATAAATTAGAAAGAAATCTGAATTAAATAGCATAAAGTAACATAGTTCTACTGAAATCATGTGAAAGAAGAAGGACTGAAGTAAGCAATAAACGGTAAACGGAGCAAGTGTATGTGGTGGAAATATCGAGAGTAAAACTGAAAAGTGAGGAGTAACGTTTGCAAATACACTGTAACTGATGAAAATAAGATGAAAATGAAAGGAAATTTGAATTAACCATAGGGCACTGTACTGCAGTGACTGAATAAAATGTTGTTTGTGTATTATTTTCATCTGTTGTATTCTGTTTCTATGGAAACAAACACCTGCATTCTTCAAGAAATATGTGAAAATTAGGTTGTGAATTTTTACCCATTTGCTGCATTGTAATTAAAATGCTTATTTGAATTCTTTAAATGTGTTTAAGTTGTTGTTGTTGATGTTGTTTTTGAAAGCAAGGTTTTGGGGTCTCCTAGAGCAAGTTTTATTGTAAATTTACATAGACATACTAATATTAAACTTGTCTGCTTAAATGAAAAGAGAAATCAATGCCCCAAACTTGTCAGCAGGGCTTAAATTAATCCAAGGCCGTGGCCGTGGATGCCCTTTTGATTGGCCTCAATGCCCCTCTCATTGGCCTTGGAGATTTTTTGTGCCCATTCCAATTCTTCCTGTTTGTGCTGTAATATAGGGTTGTGACCTACATAAAAGTGGCCTTGCCCTAAAAATGTTGAAATTTAAGGCCTGTGTCAGTATTCATACTTTATGAATTGGTTGAATATCGTTTGACTGTAGATTTTATCAACTCATTGTAATCTTTGATTATTTCTTGTTTTTGTTTTGATCAGCTCATTGAGTTCTTTAATTATTTCTTGTTTTTTTGTTTTGATGAGCTTGTTGAGTGCTTGGATTATTTCTTGTCTTCGTTTTTGATCAGCTCATTGAGTTCTTGGATTTATTTCTTTTTTTCGTTTTGATCAGCTCATTGAGTTCTTTAATTATTTCTTGTTTTTGTTTTGATAAGCTTGTTGAGTTGCCAGACCTGGTACACATGAAGACATTCAAGACAGAGAGACCCGTTAATTCAGCAGCTATATCACCCATTAAAAATCATGTAAGTAATTTCGCTTCTACATCATTCAACATGGTCTACTGTTTTACTCTGGATTACCATTATCTCTCTCTTTCTGTCTCTCTTTCTGTATGTGTATGTGTGCATGTGTCTCTCTCTCTCCCCCTCTCCCGCTCTCCCCCTCTCCCTCTCTCCCTATCTCCCCCTCTCCCTTTCCTCCCCTCCCCCTCTCCCCCTCTCCCTTTCTCCCCCTCTCCCTTTCTCCCCTCTCTCTCTCTGTCTCATTTTCTCTCACTCTCTCTCTCTCTCTCTCTTGTCTCCTTATCTCCCCTGTCTGTCTGTCAGTCTGTCAGTTTGTCTCCAGATTGGAGATTCAAATTGAATTGAATTTAATTGAATTTATTCCTGACTTTCATAACAAAATTATACAAAGTGTAAGAATACAAGAAAAGATTCTTACAAATAAGGATTAAACAATAAAATGGAAAATACACTTAAAGAAATTACAAAGTGGTTGGATCATCAAAAAGTTACATTAACTTAAAGGTAGATGACCCTATGCAAAAAACAAAACCTAACACAAAAAAAAGAGACAAAGAAATAATACAATGGTTATTACAAACATAAAAAGAACGGTTGTCATATTCAAAGCCTTTGCATTAGGCAAAGTTTTAGTTTATGTTTAAAACTTTTTAGTGATGCAAAACCTTTCAGTTTCAGAGGTAGTGAAAGCTGTTGCAGCTCTGGTTGCTTACTTACAAGCATACACATGCTTTCTTAGCAGTCAGGTAAAACAAACCATCCAACCAATGATGACCATTCATGTATGTGACCTTCGTAGTACACAAGACACATTTATGTAGCAAATACCCCCATATAAAACCAAAGTAACCCTTGGAGACCGTCATTTCTTTGTGCTACCCCTAGATTATGGAATAGATTACCACTAGAAATAAGGAAAGCCCCATCACTAGAATTTTTTTAATCAAGACTGAAAACCCACTTGTTCATGTAGTATGTATAGCACAGCATTTATGAGCTCTTGCAGCTCAGTAGAATATATCCACATAGTTATTGCACTTTATAAATGGATATATTATTATATTATTTTTGTAATATTTTGGCAGGTCTTGTTAGGTGGTGGTCAGGAGGCCATGGATGTCACAACAACTTCAGGAAGGATTGGTAAATTTGACGCCCGCTTCTACCATGCGATCTTTGAGGAGGAGTTTGGCAGGGTCAAAGGTCATTTTGGTCCGATCAACAGCGTGGCTTTCCATCCCGATGGAATGGGGTAAGTTGACAATTAATTGCAACAGAGATTTTGTTGAATCAGACATTCATGAAACGTGTAACTTTCGCAAGCCTGAACTGCTCCAAAAATTCTGGTTTTACAGTATGGTAAACAAATGTATCTTTTGGGTGACCTGGAAATCATTTCCCGAAACCGTCATAAGTACAAGTCCACCTACATGCCAATTTATGGCGTTAAATTTGTATAATTGTTTCGTAAAAGACTGACCTGTTGTATAGTGTCCTCTAGTTGGTTATAGTAGAAATGGGAACTGTGGTTTGTGCCAACCAGCAAGAGTTTGTCGTAATGAATCAGAACCATATAGATGATTTGAACTCTCTTCTCTTGTTTTAAAAATATTCCAACCTCATTATTATCAAATTTTATCCATACACAATAGATTTTATGTGCAAGAAAACTCTAAAAGTAGGTTTATTAAGGCATCATTTGCTGTATTTCACATTGAGATCATACTGTACTTAATTTGTGGGGGAGTTTTTTTATATTCTATTTCTGTATCTGTAGTTAATTCCATTCAACTGAATTGTATTGTATTAGTAATATTCTATTTTATTTTGTTGCTTTTAAGCTATTGAACATGTTAATAATTATACTGAGTTAGGCAGCACCACCTGTGGGCTTAGAACCTGTATGAAGCGCCCTATATATGTAATTATTAATATTATCATTCAAATAGTGATGATTTTTAATAATTTAACAATTCCCCCCCCCCTGTTTTTCTCACTCACAGATACAGCAGTGGAGGAGAAGATGGCTACGTCAGGGTGCATTCTTTTGACCCTAATTATTTTGAGTTTGAATTTGAATATTAGTTCTAGTGAAATGTCTCCCTTCATTTCGGTGTATTTTATGTTTTTTCTGTACAGACCCCAAACCCACCATACTTCCATTCTACAAAACCATTGCCTACCGGGATAGGATATACGAATATTGACTGCTTTGAGAGGCACGGTCATAGCTATTGCCAGAACTGGTCTTAAAGCTGGGCCCAATTTCACAAAACTTGTCATCAGTGACAAATGACAGTTTTTGTTATAAGCTAGAGAAATCCTTGCTTCTGATTGGTTATCAGCAGATTTGTCACTGAATTTTGTCATTTGTCATTGAAAAAAGGCATTGTGAAACGGGTCCCTGTACTGCATAGTGCAGTCTTGAGATCAAGAGGCGCTATAGTTTTAACCTTGACCTCCAAATAAGCAGTCAATATTTGTTTTATATACTGCATCCCCATTATCGATTCTCAAAAAGAGATATTTCAACGACTATGCCTATTAAAATGTATTTATTTGTTGACCGAAATGAACTTTTCTTGTCTAAGAGCATTGTGCTTATCCATTATCAAGTTTACATTGTACTTGCGTGTAGAATTATGCCCGGTCACTATTTTTCACTATATACTGCCCATCAGTCAATAGCGAAATTTCATGTCGGTAGCTTTGACCAATCAAAGGCCTGGATCTTCATATGCGGTATATAAATAGAACTATTAGAATCTATGTAGGAAAGTTAATTTACAGTAATGGTCAGTCAAGGAGGTCAAGTAAACTGAATATATGCTAAAGTTCTGATACATACATAACAATATGTATATAGAACATAGAGTCAGTTTGGAGCCAGATGGGTGTTAACTCATATATTTTATACATATTGTTATGCCATTCTGGCTCTGAATAGACCATGCTTTTATCAAAGCAATTATCAAAAGTCAATGTCTGATCCTGATACAAGGAAATCCCATTTCTTACCTGAACCAAAAGACTTTGAACGACTCTGTCATCCTGGGGGGTGTTTCACAAAGATCCTAAGTTGAACTTATCTCTAAGTTAGACTTAAAATTTATGGAAAGCTGTTAGCATCTTTGAAAATATTTTGTAAAAGTTATTTCAAAAGGCGCAAAATGTTAATTCATTCAATCATATTTTCTGCTATCAAGGAGATTTCATGTTCTCGATGTGGAATTTATTTCATTTTAAGGCTACAAATGGCTCTCCATAAAATTTAAATCCAACTTCAAGTTAAGTTCAACTTAAGATCTTTGAGAAACACCCCCCTTATTTATTATTTTTTTAATCAAAATACACCCCACATCAATTTTGTTTTCCTATTGAGGCCAACACACATGCCACAGTAAAGCACTTCACTGTGGCAAAATTTAATGATGTGTATTTTACTCTGATAAAACTAGATTCTCTGCATGAAAGATTTTCTCCCAAATGAAGTCTGCTATCCACCACCATACATTTATGTCTAGTTTAAGGGTAGATATATATTCTAAACAGAGGACATTTTTGTTTTCCTTCTGTTTTTATTGATTAAAAGACAACAATCAAATAACATCAAAAATCAAGATAGAATGAGAGAAACAAAATTGAACATAACTAAATTTGAAAGTTTATATAATACAGTGTAAACTGAAAAAGCTCTGATATAACACAGTAATTTCCATGGTTACAGTGTCCTTATACGAGTCTCCTCTTTAATGCAAAAAGGAAAACATGGACAAATTTAAAGGTGATAAACAGAATCTGGTGATTTTGTCCTGGATTCGTGGTGATGTCATGTATGTAAGACCAGGGCCCCCATTTCAATAAAAAGTGTCAACATTCAATAAAATTCTCTCACAGCCAATGTCGTGTAATGCAGTTATTTCAGTAGCTTTTAAACAATTACTTCAACTTTTGCTATTGATAACAAGTTTCATGACACAGGGCTCATGGCCCTGTTTCACAAAGCTTAGCCATGGATTGTGCGATTGATTTTTGCGATTGATTGCACATAATGATCATTGCCATCAATCGCAAAAGTCAGTCATATGATCAACTGCTAGGGTTTGCGTTACGTCGCCCAGAACAGTCAGGTCTGACAAAGTCAATGGAAATGATCATGAATGCCATATTTGTTCATTGAAATGAATGTTGAAAACAAGGTAAATGTCAAGCGTTTGCATTTTAGCATGAAACTAATTCAAATTATGTTTGATAATTTTGTTAATTCTTTTTAGTGATTTGCTAGGGACATCTATTATATGCATCTTTTCCTTATACAGATATAAACCCTTGCTCTCTGATTTATCATTCCATATATTATGCAGATACCCGGTGGGGTCACTCCCCTGCAAAGAGTGACACGTATGACCGTTACCACCAATGCATATAACCCCCTTTTGCGGTCAATTTCAAGGACATTTTGTGAAATTTAACCCCCTTTTTTTACATCAAAACAAGGACAAAATCGTACTTTGGAATACCCCTATTTTTAAGATTGTAAGGACACTTTCGCAAATTTACCCCTATTTTACCATATTTCAAGGACAAGACTCGGCTCCGAGAATTTTTCTTCCCGGTTTTCTCTTTTTCCTTCCCGGTTTCTCTTTTCCCTTTTCCTGACCCCTATTTATCAATTTCGGGGACACCTGTGCACCCCTATTTTCTTTATTTCGAGGAATATTTTGTCCGCGGACATTGCTTGAAATTGACCCCTTTTTCCGCGATTTTGGTAACGGTCATGCGGTCCGGAAGTCACATTGAGTGACCCCACCGGGTGCAGATACAACAAGTCAATACTACTTTTATCCTGTATCATTCATGTAGAAATGCATATCGGATAATCAAATAATTTATCCCGTTTCAATCTTTGGCCTCATAATTTCTGTTAATACCCCCATAATGTATTAAAGAGAATAAACCGGAGTATACATCAAATTTGCGAAGTTGTCATTCATTGTGTGAATTCTTTTTTAAATTTCCTGGTGGTGTAATAAATGTTTCACATTTTATCTCTCAAACTTTTCCTGTAAAGTCCTAGAAAATGTTTCTTTAGGAAAGATGCTTGCACAAATGTTTTTGCTTTTTGAAGTTACCCTTCGCAAATAAGCAATGGAGAAAAAAAAATCAAGACAGTTTGCTTTTGTAACATCTGTCTGTTCCCCTTTTTTTGTTCTTGTTTGGATTGTTGTATTCTCCCATATGTACGAGAGAATCTCATTATCTTGACCTTGTTAGGATCTTGGAAATTTATCTCGTTATGATGAAGTGCATGTGTTTGTTCAAAGAGTCCTCTGTACGGGAAATGAAAGGAAAAGTTATATATCATGGTGATTTCAAAGAGATAAGAGAAGCTTGAAGAGGAAGCTGGAAATGAGGGCAAGGAGGAAAGTGAAGAGATATAAAGAGGGAGGGGGGAAACGGAGAAAAAGAGAGAGAAGTGGAAATGACCGTTATGGAGAAAGAAAATGAAATTGAAACGCAAAAGCATGTTAAATGAGCAATTGGACGGATGACGATGGTCTTGATGTTGAAGATGCATGATGAAGATATAGGATAAAATATTGATTATAATAGGCCCCTATTTATTTCATCATTCCAAAATTGTCCATCAAACAGCATAATTAAATTCATGGTGAAGGATAAGACCCGCCCCCCCCCCCCCCCCCCCACTCAGTGTTATGCATATGCTTGTTCCCTCTTTTTGAAAGCACCCCCTATCTGAGGACTGCCAACATTTCCAAACCCCTTTCGCGGGCTTCTCCTGCCTTGGAGACCCCCCTAAATTATGAAAAATGCTCAATGTACCCCCCTAAATCTGGAATAATTTCTTAGGAGTCCAAAGAGATGAAAGAAAAAACAAAAAAAACACCCACTTTTTAAAGAAATCTCCGGGTGAATAGTTGATACACCCCTTTTTTTACAATTCTCAGGCCGGACTTTGTCGCACGAAAAGTAACCCTTTAACACGCACGGGGTCCGTTCGTTCTTGGAGTGGGGGGGGGGGGGGGGCGGGGATAAGACCCTCATTTTATCTAGTCCAAAATCAATTGTGTGTGGACCTCATTGGTTTGTCCAGGGAGTCACCTATCCCAGCTCTAAGCTTGCGCATTGCCTTTTCTCTGGTGACATTGAACTTTGATTTTGAAGCGATTAAGCAAGATGGCAGCTCCGCCGAAACCGTGGGAAAGAAATCGACAAGGCTCACTAAACACTTCTTTAGGCCTTCCCGTTGATGAAACAACAGTGTAAGTTGTGTTTTATTGTAATGTTTACGTTATAAATATTTTATAAAAGCTAATAATTGTCAATTATGAGAGGTGATGATGTGCATTTGCATAGTCGTATTTAATTGCGGTCCTATGTATTGCTATTTATGTAAGTTGTCGAGGTCAACTCCGGGGAACCGCGGCGCGGCGTAAGCCTACACTACAGTACACGTACACTCCCCCAATATTTGACTATCAAAGGGGGCCAGCGCCGAGGGATGGCCAATATATGTAATCATTCCCCCCCCCCCCCCCCAATGAAATGCATATGTTTCATTCTACATTTTGGGCCAAATAAATGATACTGATCATCATTTTTTGGCAATACTGGACCTAGACCCCTAGTCTACACCCGAGTGACTTTCGTATCCATTAACTCCGGTGTGGAGATACAGAATACAGATAGCTAGTACTAAAACACACCAAAAATCAACTAAATCTTCATCAATTGTCCAAATAATGGTCATGATTTAAAAGTCGTTATTTTTCTCACCTGTTTCGTGTAAATTTTCTTATCTTTTTTGGAGCATTTTTCTTAAAAACGAAGTCAATAAAATATACACTTTCTCACAGGTTTCACGACAAACCGGTACACAATTACAATATCGTAGTTCGTACCGACGAAGGTGCGGGCATGCGAGCGTGTGTGAAGTTATCGACTGTAAGCTCAGATCTTTACATTAATTCAATGGGGATTCAATGGGGATTTTACTTACACTTTTGATGACATCTGCTCGCAAAATAAACATTTCTAGACCTATGTTAATTCTAAATTTTCGGAACAGATGCAAAAGACTGAAAATCTTGCAGATCTTTTGATTCCATAGAAAATTTCATTTCTGGGTAACTTTAGGTTCCTCTTTCCATTGGTGAGATAAAATATGTGAAAAATTACCTTTTTTGAGAGAGCGAACTAGGGTCACGCGCGAATTAAGGTCACACCACCAATTAAGGTCACACCACCATACATTTTAACAAATAGTTTACTAATAAGATTTTACATTCATAAAGAATTTATATAGAAATTATGATATCTACAGTGAGATATGATGCCCTAGTTTATGTTGGTTTAGTTTCTAGACTGGGGTTTGTGAGTTAATTGGTATAGACATTTCAAGTTCCATTCTAATGTAAGGCCTAAAATAAAAGATGTTGTATTGCCCTTTGGGTGCCAAAACATGGGTCGGTCAGTTGGAATCTTTTTTATATTGTTTTTACTCCCTCTTTGGGCTGATAATTAAGCCGACTGTAGAATTCCAGATTTTGGGGTCGGTCGCAAAGCGCAAAACAACATCTTTTTTTTTTATAGGCCTGATACACTTGTTTTTTTTTATCCCTTCTCATTCTCAGTAACCAGCATGTCAACCAGAGATCAACCACTGGCTTACCACCAAACACCCACAGGAACTACCACTCTACAGCACCTACGCGGGGGCCAGCCCCACCACTCCCCACCCGACCCAGTCAACAAAGCTCCCTCATGTCAGGCAGCATGGTGAATCGCTACGGAGGGTCGTACGGAGGGTCGTACGGAGGGATGGGGATGGGCTCGTACGGCGGAGGGATGGGGATGGGATCGTACGGTGGAGGAATGGGAATGGGATCGTACGGCGGAGGGATGTATGGTGGATACGGAGGAGGCATGGGGGGCGGGATGGGGTACGGACGAGGGATGGGCGCGGAGCCGTTCAGTCGGTTCGTTCAGCAAGCCGAAGAGAGCAGCAGACCTGCGTTCCAATCGATTGAGAGTATCGTCCAAGCCTTCGCATCGGTCAGCATGATGCTCGAATCCACCTTCCATACCGTCTACAATAGCTTCAGAGCTGTCTTGGGCGTCGCCGAACACTTCTCCCGTCTGAAGATCCATCTTGCCAAGATCTTCTCTGCCATAGCCCTCTTCAGGTTCCTCAGGTACATCTACAGGAAGTTATTGGTTCTGGTAGGGTTAAGGACTCAGGAGTTTGCAGAGGAGATTTGGTTGGAAGCAGAGAGCCAAGCAGCGGAAGGGGCGCTGTCGTTGATGCCGTCGGGAGGGAAGCAGCAGAAGAAAGCGCCATCGTGGCCCATCTTCATGTTCTTTGCTGTCGTAGTCGGAGGTCCTTACATCATCTGGAAACTGCTGTCTTCAAGTGAAGAAGAAGAGCCAGAGAGTATGTTCTTGAATCCATTTTATTGCTTTATCCATCTTCAGATGATGGTACCTGTATTTAGAAAAGTCTTACTGATATCAAATTCATTGTTGTTATTTTACAAGGTTATCTTTGTCAAATCTATTCTCCTTTTGATGACTAGTTCCATCATCTTGAAACTACTGTCTTCAAGTGAAGAAGAAGAGCCAGAGAGTATGTTCTTGAATCAATTGTTATTGTTTTATCCATCTTCAGATGATGGTATCTAGAAGTTTATTGTTGTTATTTTACAAGGATATCTTTGTCAAATCTATTCTCCTTTTGATGACTACTGTACACAGTAATATGCACAGATGCTTATTTATTTGGCGATTGAGATTATGGAATGTACTACCTGGGGTGTTTAGTCTACATGTACATTGCGAGATTCGTGGGTACAAAGTTTAAAAAATAGTGAAATTTCGTTGAATGTTATAGTTTCAGCACAGCTTCGTGCTCTAAGTACATGTATATCTTCTCTTTTTAAAGAATTACATCATAAATGCCAAAATGGATCTTGTATAAATTTTTTAATTCTATTCAAGTCGCACTGGGAATTAAAGGAATTATTTTAATATGATAAATCTGGGGGGTGTTTCACAAAGATCCTAAGTTGGACTTAACAGTTATGGAAAACCGTTAGCATCTATGAAAATATTTTGTAAAGTTATTTTGAAAGGCATAAAATGTTGATTCAAATCAAATTTTCTATTATCAAGGAGATTTCATGTTCTTGATGTGGAATTTATAAAAAGTCTAAAATACTTCAATTTTCGCTTTTGAATATATTTAATTTTAAGATTACAAATGGCTGTCCAAAATTTTTAAGTCCAACTTAGAGTTAAGTTTGACTCTTTGTGAAACATCCCCCTGTACTACTTTTATAAATAGATATCATAACAAATGCTGCTTCCCCCCCCCCCCCCCCCCCCCCCTTTCAGGTTCCCCTGAGTGGGCCACTGGAGAAGAAGATCATGTGGTGGCTAGAGCAGAGTATGACTTTGATGGTGATGCAGAGAAAGAGCTCTCCTTCCACAGTGGGGACATTCTCAATCTGGCTCCTAAAGGTACAGTACATGTATGCTCTTCACTAAACCTTGTGTTTCTGATGCATGTGTTAAAAAGCTCAGTCACATTTGTATTCACTCTTGATAATGTTTGCATGCTCTACCATGATCAATTCACTGTGAAAGGGATTGGGTAACAACCGGTCACTCAAAGATTTTACTTTTTTGATGCACTTCATGATCATTTTGAAGCGCAATTTTTAAGGCTTCAATATTACACGATATCACAGACACTGATGACACGTAGGGCCATGCATCTCAGATTTAATGTTGTTAAACGATGCCTTTAAAGTAAAAAAGCCAAAAAGTGAAAATCTTTGAGTGACCGGTTTTACCATACTCGTTTTCCCCAATAGACTGTAGTGACCGGTTGTACCATACTCGTTTTCCCCAATAGATTGTAGTGTTATGAAAACCGTTAGGAAAACGCAAAATTTGATTTCGATTCCAATCATAAATATCTTGATAATCAGACAGGCGTTCGGCTTGTAAAAGTTACGGGGTTCCTGACTGACCTAAAGGTTTATAATTATCATTAATCATCATTTCATTTCAGAATCTAAGACAAAGTTACCCAATCCCTTTAAACCTTTCTTATTTCGTATGTCAACCATAGCTTTTTAAAACTGAATTTTTTTAGATATGACACCACTTGTGGGTTGTCCAGATCAGGGATTATATCACATATATATATATATATATATATTTTGTTTGTTTGGTTTTTTTTTTTTTTTTTTTGGGGGGGGGGGGGGTCCTTTCCTGAAAGTCTGAAACACTTATCTGTTACATTTGGTGTGAACACCACAGGGCAGAGTTCATTATACTGAAGGTCCACTACCAGACTGATAGATATGATATCACAAACCTCTATTTGTCTCGTGATTCTTCTGATAACATGTACTGTAGTTGTCTCAATTTCAATGAACCCAAACTGGTTTAACCTGTAAACAAGCTTAAAGGGCAATCCAGCCCTTCTAATAAGTTAATTTGAATGAAAGCATAAAAATTAGAGAAACAGAATGGGGGAAAGTTTGAAATGTAAGGAAGTTATGAATGTGTGAAATAAGAGATCACTAAGTCTATGCGAATCTCACATTGGTAGTTTGGTCAGTGGATTCTGACGTAGGACGTGGATAACTCTCCCACAGTTGCCGTGTACAAATTTTCATTAATTTCCTTCTCCCTTGGGGCCACTACTCAAGATATATTATAGATAACATATTATATTATAGGTCCTATAAAAAAAATAGACCCTCCTGAGCCATGATTTAAAAAAGATTTTAATCATTTTATATGTTGGAACAGATTGAAAAGTAGTCCGGCACTACACCATATTGACATTACCGCTTCAGCCAATTTAAAGTGCCCATACGTATCGTGATTACCGGTACAACTTTTACAAATTCATAACTCTCTTATATTTAGTCAGATTAGATTGAAACTTTCATCAGTTTGCTTCTCTGATATTTCTGCTTTCTTTTAGAGTAGTTGTCTTTTTGGGTTGGCTTTCCCTTTAAGAACATTCATGAAGTTGATTTTGTTGACCCTTCTTTTCTAGAATTTAGCAGCTCTAATGCAAATACCAACATAATAATATTGCATTGTATAGTACTGAATTGTGGTTATATAAATTGTATTTCATTGATAACTGAGATGAATGTAGTTCATCGCAAATATATTCTTATTTCATTTGACTGGCCTATCAGATGAGTGTCATCTGATAATGAATTTTGTCCATTTGCAAGTTAAGTCCTTTGTTCAATAAATACGTACATGATTGAATACACTGTGTGTATACGTATATGATTGAATATTCTGTTCATTGTTTATAATCTAGACCAGCAACCCAGGGTTCGCGGCTGGTTATTGGCCAGCAAAGGTGGGGAGAAGATTGGACTTGTCCCCGCCAACTATGTCAAGATCTTGGGAAAGCGCAGAGGACAGAAGTACGCCCCCAACGAACAGCAGGGAAATCCCCTAACATCGAACCAGTCGATGCCCCTCTTACCAGCATCTGACCCACCATCCGTCCCAGCCTCAGCCTCAGGTTCGACTAAAGCGATGACTGCGAGTGGCCTTCGGGATAACCAAAGTGCCACTGACTTTGGACAAGCCTTCGGTGCATCTGCAACTCCTGGTGATGTAGAGAGCGGTTTTCTGCCAGGAGGGGGCAGAGCTCCGAGCTGGGGGAAGATTTTGTGTTCAGGTCGGACAATGCGAACAATTCAAACTCTTCATTCGCAGATGGTCGTCAGGAGGACTTTACCGGGTTTGACAATACTTTCATGTCTGAGACAGAGGCTAGGGTACCTGGAGCAGCAGAAAAACAGTGATAGTTAATGTAATGTGACAACTTCAATACCATGGGCAAAGCATTGTGCCACACACATGTATCAGGGATGCCAGTTTTCAGGCAATTGCCTGAATTCAGGCCCTGGCGAGTTATTTCCAGACCATATTTTAGGCTTTTTTGTGTACAAATAGCTCATTCTAGGTGATTTTCAGCCCTCTGATCAATTCTACCTGGTATCACTGATATATTCATTTCTGTCATTGTCATGTCATATGTCCTCATAGCATTGGTAGCTTGTTTGGTCGCAATCATGTTTTGTCCTTGTATATGATGGAATGATCTGCTGGGAGTTAGAAGGCACGGCTTGACAATGACCGACACCCGCATCGCGTCTTATTTTTTCGTACCAGAGCGAGCCCAGATTGCGCACATGGCAGCCGTTAAGAGTTAGTAATAGGGTTATAATAATCATGCAAACCCACCTTTCATCAACCCATCGTTAGCTCAATCAGAAAGGACAGCGTGATAGAACATTGGAGTCGTGGGTTCGAATCCCAGTATTTTTTCAGTTTTATTTTTTGCCTTTAGAAATAGTGGGCAAAGCAATAAATAAATAATCAGAGTCTAAATATTTGTGACCTCTTTCAAAGCTTTTGTAGCTTGTTATGTATGGAAAATAATTTCATACTGGATTCTGGGCTCACTTGGGTAGTAAAGAATAAGATGCGTCCGGCACACATGGACGTCCATATTATTAGTCCTGACCCCACAAATTTTGAAATTTTCACAAAGTTTTAGGGCTCACTTTATATTTTCACAAGTGTTAGCATAAATGCTGAATATTTAGACAGGATACCGGTATTCATATACATGTACTGGAAGCCTGAAAACGTATTACCTGGCATACATTGTATCTACCTTGGGACTTAACTTTTCCCCAAATATTGCAACTCTAATTTGTGCTCAAGTGTCTTTGGTTCTTGGTTTTAATTATTGATTTGAAATAGTGATTTTAATGTCTAACTATTAAATGGCAGTCATGGTGTTATAATGCATGATGATTTTGTGACATTTCTTTCCATACAGCAGGAAAAACATTCTAGGTGCTAAATCCCAGTCACTAAAATACCTGTAAGAGTCATTTGACATACTTTCAACATGGGTTCTTAAAGGCATTGTTTTTAACAATGTTTCCAGTTTTACAAATCTGTGATGCAGGGCCTTATGTGTTATCAGTGTCTGATATGGTGTATTATAAAATGGCTCTAGTATTTTAAGCATCGTGATTGGTCAATACGCGTCACATGACATTGACAAATTTTTGATGCAAGCACGCTTTTGCAGAAATGAGTGCAGAAAAAGCGCAACAAAAAGTTATATTGCACGGCGCGTACGTGACCATGGAGATCCAGTGCGCGCGCGTACGCGTGGTACTAGTACGCTCCCCCGAGTGCATTGTAGGCTATAGGCTACGCGTAGCTAATATTGTACGCTCCACCATGATCCCCAGCGCAGCGTACGCGTAGCTAGCTTAGCTCTAGCTAGAGCGGGGTATATTATTAGAAAGCAAATTTTTATTTTACTTTTGCCTTGGATTTAGACCCGTTTTGACTTTTGGATTTTATAATGAAGCCAAGAATTTCAGCTGTCTGATGTAGACTCGTCTCTAGACACCCTATGCATTTTATTTTTAATCAAACAATGAATCCCGTGGACTTTTCGGTAAGCCTGCAAGGTTTTACTTTTAGACCCTCATTTTAGTCTAAGTTAGATCTAGGCCTAGTAGAATCTACTACTAGATCTAGTAGAACCAACATAACTCGAACTCTCGTATACTTAAGATCTAAACTTTTGTTTGTTGCTGTTTGTGTCGCTATTTTATAAAACAAATAACGCACTTGACCCTGTTGTGCGAAACGTAAATGCAGTGTTCGCTCGGTTTCTTCAGATGGTTCGCACTGTCAACTCGCCGCAAGCGGCTCGTTGCACAGAGCGGCACCAATCTAAAGAAACCTCGCGCGTACTGCATTCACCGCTATTGCACTCTGGGCCGTGCGTTATTTGTATAATATTGAAGCCCTAAGAGCAATGCGCTTCAAAATGATCATGAAGTGCCTCAAAAAAGTAAAAATCTTTGAGTGACCGGTTTTACCATAGTCACTGTAGTGTTATAAAAACGGTTTTTAAAATTTCAAATTCCAATCATAAATATCTTGATAACCAGACAGGCGAACGGCTTGTAAATGTCTTGGGATTCGTGACTGACCTAAAGGTTTATAATTATGATTACAGCACGAGCTAAATCTAGGATTTTGTTTAGAATGTGAAACACTTTGTTGCATTGAAGCTAATGTCTGATGCACAATTCATGCATGTTACGACCAATCAATGGATACATATGTACACTGTGAAGGATCAAAAGGTTCAAAGTTCACTGTTTTATGTAATGGTCTTGATAGGGCCTGTTAAATCCAGGGGGTGTTTCACAAAGATCCCAAGTTGAACTTAATATCTCTAAGTTGGACTTCACAATTATGGAAAGCCTTTAGCATCTTTAAAAATATTTTGTAAAATTTATTTTAAAAGGCGTAAAGTGTTGATTCAAATCATTCATATTTTCTATTATATTATCATGGGTGATTTTATGTTCTTTTATGAAAATTATGAATTTATGAAAAGTCTTTTTGCTTTTGAATATATTTCATTATAAGGCCACAAATGGCTCTCTATAACTTTTAAGTCCAACTTAGAGTTAAGTTTGACTTAGGATCTTTGTGAAACACCCCCTGGTATCTTCTCATATTTGTATTCTTGTATTTTCTCATTGTTGTAAAATAGATGCATGATAATTACATGGATTCAGTGTAATTTAAGATAAAATCTTTCTGAAATTGAAATGCATGCATAACAGGCATGATTTTTTACTGTGCTGGACAAATGATTCAATGAATTAATTCATACAAACAATGCTTATAGTTATATGAAGTATGAACTGGGTAACCGCATCATTTTATCAAAACTCTCGTTAAATACAGAAATTTCAAGAAGACTCACAAATAGCACAACAGCTTTTGCCTTAATCTTTCATTTTTATGTATATTTTATACAATACATTTTTAGTTCACTTACATCAATACATGTTCATGTAGTAATATATTTCATTCTTTCAAAGTCAAACATAGTTATTTAAACTAAGTATAGTGTTAGAATATACAATTCCACAGATATAATTCCATCTCCTTTCTAAAAGTCACGCTTTTTGAATACTTTAGAATGGAAACAAATTAACAAGTACCTGTAGACATGGATATGGGGAAAACATATACTATTTACACGACACAAGTTACTGCATGTATTATCTTTGCCCTAAAAAGAAGATGTTTATTCAAATCTATTCCAGTACTTGTATTCTAACTGGACTATGGACACGTTTCATTAATGAGCTATTGATTTCGTTCTTCTGTGGTCAATTCCATGCTATACATTGACGGTTTCAAAGATGTAAGTTGATTTGTGTACATAAAAATATATATATGGCAATAAATTATGAAATTCAAAATGACAAGATTATTTTTCTGTATATCTTTATTCTATTGTCCGCTTCCAATTTTCGTAACGTTGGGATATACATATTTATTATTTGAAAACTGTACCTACAGCTGTGTGTTCATTTTTGGGCAAAGACATCAAAAGAGGTTTTAGACATTGAAAAAACAAATAAAAACACCTCTTTCATATTCAAGTTGCATCTATGAATAAATATTGCACTGATCATTAAAGAAAATGACAAGAGAAGTAACCCACATGATTGGGGAAAAAAATGGAAAAAGAATTGATCAAATACAGTGTTGCACTCTGAAGAACCAATTGGGTTTAAACTTCATTCATAACCTACAGGAATGTCCCATCATAACAAGAAATACATGAACAACAATAATAAAACTATTCAATATATATGCGTCGTCTATGCTAGTAACTTTGATAAAGGATATTATTCAATATTTTAATGCCCTTCTTGCTCTTAACCTTTGGATGATAAAACTCATTTTTATCAAAACATATAATACCATCACTTCTCTTGCTGGCTTTGCAACTTTTTGGTAGTTACGAGCTGACAGGTCTCAAATGCTTTTTTACATTTTTCAATTTGATACATTTATTGAACTCTAGTTCCTAGTGCCATGAATGTTCTTTAAGAACTAGGCACTAGGAACTAGAGTTCAATAAATGTATCAAATTGAAAAATGTAAAAAAGATAGTCGTATAAACACAACACGCAATGTAAGTTCCCCCTGAGTAACTCCTCCTAATTTCTGAACGGTAAAATTTTAAACAAATTTTCTCAGAAAGGACTATGCCTGTGGTTCTTCTGGAACCTTCTGGAGCATGATTCAAAGACAAAATGACCCCATTTCAAAATTCACAAGATCTGTACTGAGATACACTCAAATTCATGAATAGGGCCATTTACATGCAACCGCGATGTTTCAGTGATGTTTCCAAGGCAACTACGCTTTACCGGCAAAAAAAAAAAAAGATTCTGTTTCTTCACGGAGCTCTTAGACTCCTCCAGTTCGTAGAGGGTGCAGAGATTAAAGATGAGGGACTTGTCTAAGAACTCACTGCTGTCCTTTTAAAAAGAAAAGAGATAACAGATGAGAAGCTAGGGCATCTTAAGACAACTGACATGAAAACCATCTCCTTTGTGTTTACCGACTAGTCCAAGAAGATTCTGTTTCTTGACTGTGCTCTTAGACGACTCCATTTCGTAGAGGGTGCAGAGATTAAAGATGAAAGAACTCGCTGCTGTCCTCATTGACAAAAAAAAGAGATTACAGATGAGAAACTAGGGCATCTTAAGACAACTGACATTGAATCCATCTCCTTTGTGCTTACTGACAAGTCCAAGAAGATTCTGTTTCTTGACGGTGCTCTTAGACGACTCCAGTTCGTAGAGGGTGCAGAGATTAAAGATGAGGGACTCGTCTAAGAACTCGCTGCTCTCCTCATCGACAAGAAAAGAGATTACAGATGAGAAACTAGGGCATCTTAAGACAACTGACATTAAAACCATCTCCTTTGTGTTTACTGACAAGTCCAAGAAGATTCTGTTTCTTGACGGTGCTCTTAGACGACTCCAGTTCGTAGAGGGTGCAGAGATTAAAGATGAGAGACTCGTCTAAGAACTCGCTGCTCTCCTCATTAACAAGAAAAGAGATTACAGATGAGAAGCTAGGGCATCTTAAGACAACTGACATTAAAACCATCTCCTTTGTGTTTACTGACAAGTCCAAGAAGATTCTGTTTCTTGACGGTGCTCTTAGACGACTCCAGTTCGTAGAGGGTGCAGAGATTAAAGATGAGGGACTCGTCTAAGAACTCACTACTGTCCTTGTTAACTAGGTTCTCTAGGAGTGAGAGCGACTCCTTCAGTTTGCCGAGGTACAGGCAGCAGACTGAGACATTGTTGATTGCCTACAAAATAGTAACAAAGGAAAGACACAACGTGTAACGCATTCAACCATTTGAACATTTCCAATGTGAAATTAATTTAAACAGAAATGGCAACTATCAAGTGACCAAGTCTAAGTTCATGAACTTAAAATAAAAATAAAAAATAAATACTTTGGGAAAGTTGCTCCTATCATTATAATTGTTGAAATAATGGTTTTGAAGGGTTTAGACTAGGATTACTTTAATTTCAATAACATAAACTGCATGATGGGGATAAAGGGAGGAAAAAACAGAATACTGTGAGGGAAAACTGATGATAAAAGAGTAATATATATATATAAATATATATATATATATATATATATATACAGTCAAACCTGTCTACAGCGACCCGCCCAAGGGAAACACATAAAGTGGTCTTTGTAGACAGGTGGTCTTTGTAGACGGGTTCCTTTAGTACATGTTTCAATGAGAAACCATTTTCAAGGGAAACTAAAAATGTGCTTGTTGTAGACAGGTGGTCTTTGTAGACAGGTGGTCACTAAAGCAGGTTCGACAGTATATATATAGAGAGAGAGAAAGAATTTGATTAAGATGACAGGACTTACAAACTGAGGATGCTGAAAGTAAAAATTGGTACTAACCATGAAGTTCGTCGGTTCTATTTTGAGTCCTTCATTGAAATGCTTATAGGCTTCTGCGTACTGATTCTGTGCTACTTTCAGGAACCCTCTGTGAATGAAATAAGAAATTCACAGTTGCTAATTCATTGAATCACCCAAGGGTGCGTTTAAGCGACACTTTTTCAAAGACGTTTAGTTTAAAACACAGTTGCGTTCACGCCATTGAGATCTCCGATTGAGAACTCATGATTGAGATCTCCGTTGCATTCAAGCGATTTTTTTTAGGTCGTAAAAATAAACATGTTTTAAAACGCAAACATGAAACGCTGAAAAAGTTGCGTTTTGTAACCACGGTCGCTAAAAATCGCTTGAACGCAACGGAGATCTCAATCATGATTCTATGACATCGTTATGTATCATATATAGTATCGTTATGTATCATATATAGTATCGTTATGTATCATATATATAGTATCGTTATGTATCATATATAGTATTGCTATCTATATCTATTCTTCCTGGGCGTTTTAATTTGTGATTCATGTTTGTGATTCTAGCTTGAAAAAAAATTGCTTTAACGCACCCCAATTGACCCAAACTAAAAATATAAGTGTGTTCCAAAGGCTCCATTCTATTCTTGTTATACACCATCATCATTTGTTTAAGTATTCCGTTGTCATATCAAATAGTTGTTCTTGTCATACTCTGTCATTATTTAAGTCACTAATCAGCCTATGTAATTATACCATATAAGTTTGTTCTATTGCTATTTGTTAAGAGCAGAGAGATGGCAACATATATAGGCCTCATCATCATCAGTATCATTATTATTATTATTATTATTATCATTACTATTATCATTATCAGTATCATTATTATTATTACTATTAGCATTATTATTATTACTATTAGCATTATTATTATTACTAATTATCATAATTATTATTTTTATTATTATTAAAATCATCATCATCATCGTCATCATTATCATCATTATTATTATCATTATTATCATTATCATCATCATCATCGTCGACTTCGTCGTCATCATTATTATTATCATTATTATCATTATCATCATCATCATCATCCTCATCATCATCATCATCATCGTCATCACCATCATCATCATCATCATCATCATCATCATCATCATCATCATCGTCATCACCATTATTATTATCATTATCATCATCATCATCATCATCATCATCATCATCATCATCATCATCATCATCATCATCATCATTATCGTTATTTGAACTCGCCATGCCAGTAAAACTTAAAACATAATCTCAAACATTTCTCAATTGTGGCTTCACAAAGTATGCTTTGCCTGACCTGTTAATATGTATTCTAGCCTGTTTGCCTGGAGACGATCCACCGGCTGGAATCTTCTTCTCTATCTCACTGTACACATCCTGGGCAGACTTCAGATCACCAAGCTACACAGTGCCCAAGAAAAACAAGAGACAGAAGGGAGACGTATAAACATAACACAAAGTCATTTTTAATTGCATCCCAAGAAAAGGTATTTTATTAATATACAGTCAAACCTGTCTATAGCGGCCGCCCCAGGGAAAACACAAAAAGTGGTCTTTGTAGACAGGTTCCTATAGTACATATTTCAATGAGAAACTATTTTCAAGGGAAACACAAAATGCGGTCTTTGTAGACAGGTTCCTTTAGTACATGTTTCAATGAGAAACCATTTTCAAGGGAAATTTTAAAAATGTGGTCTTTGTAGACAGGTGGTCACTTAAAGCAGGTTTGACTGTTTATTCATCTGTATCACACTGGACCAAAATGAAGGACTCCGAAGCCAGAATATTTTTAAATTTATTGAATGGTTTAGATCTATGAGAGTTTTCATGCTGCATTATAATCAAATATTATTTAACACCACATTGTACTTTAATCTGATTTGAAAAAAGTTCCTTTTGCTTTTAAGGCCAGATTACAATCTGCTGAATTTTTAGATGTAATAAATGGGTTACCGGTACTTGTGTGAAAGAATTTAAAGAAACTTGGAAGTACTGTAATGGGTTCTACGCTAAAACTGTGAGACAGAAATGGTCTGTATCAGTATCATAATCATTATCACTGCTTCAATAATCTATAATCATTGTTTTGTTTGTACCTGCTAAGCACATCTCTGAGAATAATCATCTTTAACATTGGAATTTAAATCAAGACTTACTTGAAGGTACACCCTGGCAATACCACACAATATGTTGATTTCATTCTCAGGCTCTTTCACTACCAATGATTTGAAGACATTCACAGCTTGCATGTACTCCTGAAAAAACAAATCATATCAACAATGAAGGGCGATTACTGTCCTATTTAACCTTTCACAATTCCAGTCAGTGAATATGCACGACCAATGTCTTCCAAGAACGTCTGTTACCAAGACAGGTATATTATTAAGCAATAAGACAAATCATACACATTTGACGAAATGAAAATGTAATTGATTATGATAATGATGGCTTTTAATGTAGCACACTCCAACAGCGCTCTAGCATATTGGGTACTACTTCAGAGATGCCAACCCTATGGGATGGTTGTCAGTAACATTTACCACATTTTTCCTTAACAAATGGGGGTCTTTCCGGAACGGAAGTCAACGCAGCATATGTTTCGCGCAAAACGTACACAAACACATAATCACTCTTATTACTGCCCCACTGCACTACTTGTAGCTACTTGCTCCCTCTATATAGAAACAATGCCTAAGCGGTGCCCGTTGGTCCCCCATGATCGTCTTTTTCTTATATTAATTGAGAGCTGAGTTGATGAGATAACCACCCGTTAGTGACCCCCCTGGGTGGTCTAATCCCTCCTGGCCAAACCAGTGCAGACAGGCTTTAAGTACTCTACAGCATGACACTTTTTCTTATGTTAATTGAGAGCCGAGTTGATGAGATAACCACCCGTTAGTGACCCCCCTGTGTGGTCTAATCCTTCCTGGCCAAACAGTGCAGACGGGCTTTAAGTACTCTATAGCATGAGAAGCCTTTGTATCTGCTGTCTGTCTGTACATACCTTCATGCTGACTAAGCAGTTTCCCACAGAGTGAAGAACTCGGATTTGTCTACTCTCCCACAGATCTAAAGATGCTAGGAACACAAACAAGAAATTTCAAAATGATGACCATTTGAAACATCATATCTTAAGCTATGGTCACAAATCAGAGCAGCGACCGACCGATCAGTAGCCTGCTCGGTCGCTGCTGGAATTAGGCATCGCCCAGCGATTAGGTCGGTGCCCGGGCGGCGACCGCCCAGGCGGCGACCGCCCAGGCACCGAGCGTATTTTGGGCGGCAAGTGAAAAGTGAGCAGGCGCCGCCCAAATTTTAACTCCGCGCTTAAACTTCAGCGGCGACCGAGCGATGCCCTAAAAACGAGCGGTGCCTGGGCGGCCGCCGCTCGGTGGCCGGCCAGCCGCCGGGCAGAATTAGTTAAAAACTCGCCGCTCGGCCGCCGAGCAGGCTACTTTTGGGCAATGTGACTATAGCATTAAAGAGATCGTTTAACAATCTTAAATCTGAGATGCATGGCCCTACGTGTTATCAGTGTCTGTGATATTGTGTAATATTGAAGCCCTAAAAAAATTGCGCCTTAAAATAATAAAGAAGTGCCTCAAAAAAGTAAAAACCTTTGAGTGACCGGTTTTACCATACTCGTTTTTCCCAATAGACTGTAGTGTTATGAAAAACGTTTGGCAAACGCAAAATTTGATTTCAATTTTCAATCAAAAATATCTTTATAATCAGACAGGTGATCGGCTTGTAAAAGTCATGGGATTCCTAAATGCAAGTTAATCAATTCCTTGAGCGTTCATCAATCCTCTTACCTTTCCTGTTCTCTTCTGAGAGCTCCACAGACTGACCATACTCGGACTTTCCATCTTGTAGATTCTTCACTATCTACCCAGGACAACAGAACACAGAGATGACAGAAAGATTCAAATAAAGAGCTTTGAATTTCAATGATCAAAATATGTCATTTACAAATATGCATGAAGACAGCTATCAAAATTATGTGATTTAAGGAAGCGAAACAAGCCACAACCAAACAAAAGTCAATATTATGTATGGTTCATATTTGTCGTCTTCAGAATGTATCCATATTTTGTATCCTATTCATGTTCTTTGTAAATGACGTCTGTGCCTTTATTTTTTACAGGTGGGAGAAACAAATATCAATTTTGAACTTACATTGGACAAATAAATGCATTGGATGGAATTGAATTGAATTGTAGAATCATTTTGCATGCATTCAAATGGTTAGTGGAGTGAAAATCCAAGAAAAAAAGTGTGTGCAACTCACTGATCTGCGTGTTAGAGATACAGAAACATGAACTGATTTTGCTTACATGTTTGTCATTTACTTCATTTTGCAGTAGAGTGATGTTTTTTTTTATTTTCTGCAAAATACTAGTCTTAGGGGTAATAGTGAGCACTAATAAAAAAAAATTAAAAGTTTTTTTTCCCCCTCAACCACAAAGATCTTAAGTCAAACTTAACTTTGAGTTGGACTTAAACATTATGGAGAGCAATTTGTAGCCTTAGAATAAAATATATTAAAAAGCTAAAAATTCAAGTATTTTAGACTTTTCATCAATTCTACATCCAGAATCTCCTTGATAATATAAATGACTTTAATCAACATTTTATGCCTTTTGAATTACTTTAACAAAATATTTTCAAAGATGCTAATGGCTTGCCATAATTGTTAAGTCCAACTTAGAGATAAGTTCACCTTAGGATCTGTGTGAAACTACCCCCTAATCTATTATTTTCATTTGACGATAAGTTGCATCATATGTGAGCCAGGTTTGACTCATTTCACACAAAAGGCCCGTTTTCATTATCTCGAGATTGCCAAATAGCCCGCTATTTCTGATTTGAGAAATAATCCCTAGGTTACAAATCGCGTCTTCATCAGCTCGAGATTTTATCCTCGACCTTGAGAAATTAGCTCAAGATATTTTGCTCAGCGTTAGCGCATAGTGCGAGTCTTCGGTCTGGTGAAGACGCACAGGACAAATAGTGGGATATTTTGCAAACTATCTCAAGATATCTCGGGATGACAATCCCGACCAAATATCTCTCTAATTGCTAATTGATGAAGACGCAAATTAGCTGGATAGTTTGCGATCCGGATAGTTCAAATAGCTGGATATTTGGCAATCTCGAGATAGTGAAGACAGGCCTACAGATTCCTACCTTGTGACAAACAGACAGAATGGCAGAAAGTCTGTCCAGACAAAGCTGATGCTTGCCTACATACATAGCTAACTCAGCATGGATCAAACGAAATGAGAAGGGTACCATAGAACCTGACAAGAAAAGATAGAGATGGAATTTAATTAACACATTAATACATTCAAAATTCAAAATAGGAGCCAAAGGCTGAAACAAAATGAATTTACAAAAGATTAAAAATTACATTTAAATACAATACATTGAAATTGGTTAAATTGGTTATATTTTTATGCTCTTTTCCCTTCTCTAGCTCATTAGCTCTTTCTCTCTCTATTTAGTTTCCTATGGCATGGGTCAGCGCATGCGCCCCATCAGCGACTAGGGCATAACAGTTGGATTAGTGCGAAAATCACCTTGGTTGTTCGGGTGAGGATCTGTGTACCATAAGAGAAGGAGGGTGTGGGAAGGGGGGGGGGGGGTACTGTCATCTACTCCTTATGTTCTTTTCCCTTACCCCCCCCCCCTCCCCCACACACCACTGGTGACTGGTCATCTGCAGACACAGACACTTATTCAAGGCCTAACAAAAATTCCATAAAGTTTGGAACCGAGCCCAACTTTGTCTGTCTTTGGCTATGCAGGGTCTATGGACTGGAGTCTCTGTATACTCTCCTACTTGTAGATTAGACCTGCTGTTATGCATACAAGGGTTTGCGCCTGGGAGCTGAATACTAGGTAGGGATGTACCCCCTTTTCACACAGGGGTAAAACTATTTAAAGCTGATTAGTTTAAACAGCTTTAAACTAATCAGCTTTACATACAACATCATTCACAAACAGACAATTTTGGTGCGGTCGTTCAAGATTCACACGCTCAGTTGGGCTATTGCGTATTTATGAGCAGTGACATTGCGCATTTATGAGCAGTGACTCACTGCTCGTAAATGCCCAATGGCCCTACTGAGCGTTTAAAGAGCAGTGCCCGGTCTAGTTAAGGACGTATATCCGTTCACACACAAAATGTCTTGCTCTCTAGATACGATGAATTTTACCCCTGTGTGAAAAGACTGATCGAGGTTTTGTGAAAATCACCTTGTCTGCCTGGGTAGAGATCTGGGTAGTAGCCAAAGAAGAGATCAGGTTTATCCATGTTACCAAAAGCATCCAACTCTTGCTCTGCGGCGGTGAACTGCTGCAACTTCATCAATACAGATATCCTAGTGAACCATACCTAGAGGAGAGAACGACAGAGAGAGAGAGAGAGAGAGAGAGAGAGAGAGAGAGAGAGAGAGGGAGAGAGAGAGAGAGAGAGAGGGAGAGAGAGAGATAGAGAGAGAGAGAGAGAAAGAGAGGGAGAGAGTGAGAGAGAGACAGTGGGAGGGGAAAAGGATAGAGAAACTCAGAGAGGGAGAGACAGAAACAGAGAGAGAGACACAGACAGACACAGACAGTGACAGACTCACACAGAGAGTGTGTGTGAGAGAGAGAGAGAGAGAGAGAGAGAGACAGGGAGGGGAGAGACAGATAGAGAGACTCAGAGAGAGGGAGAAACAGAAACAGGCGGAGAGAGAGAGGGGGGGGGAGAGAGAGGAGGGGGAAGTACAAGATGTTAGAAGACATACCTATTCAAAGATTATAATAGACTTACAAATTCCTCACATTAATATGTTTGCATCAAACAGCACTATAATCTACCATGAAATATAATGTATAAAGGAGCAACCTCATTTGTTGAGTCTTATACATGTATCATTGGAAAGTTAAAAACTATAGCTATTCTTTAAAACATGAATGTAATATGGGTGGCACAAGAACAGTTAATAAAAAAGTTAGAAGATGAACAAGCACTACAAGAGGCATTCTGTCTCACCTGCATGAGATGAGGGGTGTGTCTTGATGGCATTCCAGCTTGACCTTTGCCCTGAGCTCCAGAGGTCAATAGAAGACCTGTCAGGTCAACAGCAGCACGAAGACAACCTGCATCCTGATACACATCATCAAAACAACATGTTTATAGTACTGGATTGTCTGTTTAAAGCCACAAGTGTGCTAACTCTGTGAGAAGTCCATCAATTAACGCCCTTCTGGCTTTTACCAGATGATATTATGCATGTACAAACTATTTACCCAGATTCTACCATACATGTATATGCTCTCGCGATGGCTGGTCCAAGTCAAAATACTATGGAACCAATACTATACCAAACCCTATAACCCAATTGCAACCCTTAAAGGTAAAGACCAGTTATGGTCATGCGATTGCATTGTGAAAGAAACGTTGTGGAATCGATCAGAAAAGATTGATCATCTTGCATATATTACAGTACTAGTGTGTACTGCACAGTTTTGGAATCATCAAAATGATAAGAAATTTGGCCCAGTCTTGGTAAAGTTACAAGCACTGTACACAGAAAGATGTATATGGGACTACACAGAAATCGGTCCTGATTTTTATGCTGTTACATGCCATATTTAGAATATTAAGGCATTTGAAGAGCCATGCTTTGCAGGGAACATTTTTTATCTGATGTCTTCCACACTTGCATAATACAATGATAATGCTCACAAATTATTTTTCACCTCTTCTCAGAACTCAACCTTCTCTTTAAGGCCACAAGTGTGCTAACTCTGTGAGAAGTCATATCAATTAACGCCCTTCTGGATCTTACCAGATGATATTATGCATGTACAAACTATTTACCCAGATTCTACCATACATGTATATGCTCTCGTGATGGCTGGTCCAAGTCAATATACTAATACTATACCAAACCCTAACCCCAAACCCAACCCTATAACCCAATCCCACTTCCTTAAACTTAACCTCATATCTTTGACAAAATAAAGTCCAGAGCAAATGTTGCCAGTTTGATCACTATTCCCCGAAATTGATAGTTCTGATCTCCATTGGATGTGTGCACTTTCCGAACTACAATTGTCATTTTCTTGTCGAGCTGATAGAAGTTCTAGTACAGTCAAACCTGCCTTAGTGACCACCTGTCCATAACGACCACTAATAATTCCCCTGCAGAAAAGACACGTACCGTGAGATCAGGAGAGTGTTTCACCGAGCCTTTTTTCAATGACAAATGACAAAAGTCAGTGACAAATATGCTGATAACCAACCAGAAGCAAGGATTTCAGTAGCTTATAACAAAAACTGTCATTTGTCACTGATGACAAGTTTTGTGAAACGCCCCCCTGAACATTACTGTAGTATATGAATACTTTGTGGGAGTTTGTTCCATAGAAATGGATCAGCACAGAAATGATCAGGGATCCATTTCACACAGCCTTTTTCAATGACAAATGACAAAAATCAGTGACAAATCTGCAGATAACCAATCAGAAGCAAGGATTTCAGTAGCTTATAACACACAAATTGTCATTTGTCACTGATGACAAGTCCTGTGAAAAGCCCCCCTGATTGTGACTACTACAGTACTTACCAATAACCTTTTAAGGCCATGCTCATCTCTTGTGACTTGGTTTACGGTGAGAACAGATCGTTTAGCGGATTCCTGCTCACCCATGTACCTCTGAACTAGCTCTTTGATTGGATCACCCTGTTACACAAAATTAATCGTCATGGGGGTGTTTCACAAAGATCCTAAGTCAAACTTATCTCTAAGTTAGACTTCAAAATTATGGAAATATTTGAAAATATTTTGTAAAAGTTATTTTGAAGGCATAAAATGTTGATTCAAATCATTCATATTTTTTTTATCATCTAGGAGATTTCATGTTCTTGTTGTGGAATTTGTACAAAGTCTAAAATACTTCAATTTCTGCTTTTGAATATATTTCATTTTAAGGCTACATATGGCTCTTCATAATTTTTAAGTCCAACTTAGTGTTAAGTTCTGCCTAGGATCTTTGTGAAACACCCCATGGTCATAAAACAAGTATTATCATTATCATGATCATTATGATGATATTACTATTGCAATTCTGATTACACACGCCATTTCCATTCATGTTTTCATCTCCATGATCAGTTGAATTTGAAAGGTCCGTAGATTTCTAGGGTCACAGTTTGTGTATATTTGAGCATTAAAAAGCATGTTGGAAAGTTTCAGGGAAGAAAAAAAATTGAATTTTACTTTTTCGTGAATGCCTTTTATAAATTCTGATAACTTTCCTTCTCATTTAATGCCTTAATATTTGATAAATAATCGTTATAGCCCCCCCCCCCCCCAAAAAAAAATAAAAATTAAGTTTGGTTCCCTTAATCAAAGGAAGAAATACTGGGTACAGTTATTGATTCTCATTAAGTACTACTAATTGCTAGATGGATGATAATAGCTTCCTACCTGTGGTTCTTCGGCAATGATACCAGGCATGGTGAGTTGATCCCTGATCACGTACTCTGATCCCTGCAGGGCAATACTACGGTTTACTAAAATCTTCTGAGTGGCCTCCGAGGGTACCCATGCATCGTGCCGACGATCGCTCTCACTGGTACGGAGCGCTTCTACGAACGGGTCATCATCATCTTCTTGCGATGCGATGGACTGAAACGGCACATGGGGCCTGACCGGGTTGGGATTGGTGAGACCTGATGGAGCGCTGAAGGACGACATGAGGGCAGGCGGAACACCCAAAGAGTCGGAGGAGTCGGTGACCGTGTCTTCTTGGGAAGTGACTGATAGAGGCGGTGAGGATGGCCCTTGTGATTCAATGGTGGTTGATTTATTCGGAGTCGTCACCTGCGTATCAGGAACAGCGACCTTATCCTTGACATCCAAGCTCGTGTCAGCATCATCCTTTGGTAGATCAGGAACAGTCTCTGGTGGCTTTACCTCAGCAGAAGCAATTGCTACAGGTTCATCTTTGTCACCTTTGTTTGATTCAGTTGCAGCATCGTTTATTCCCTCTTCAATCACCGTTGTCTCCGCCTCTGGACTTTCCAGTGAGATAGTTGTCTCAAGCGCCCCCTTCGCAGCTTCCATTTCTCCATCCTCCTCCACCAGATCATTCTTTGCTTCAAAGCTCTCATTTCCCTGATCAACGCTTTGATCATCCTTGTCCTCCTCTGATAAAAGGTTTGTAGAATCCATGCTCATGGTGTCCATGTTACTTCCGCTCCCCATCTTAGCATCTTCTTCAGTGAGCAGATTAGTGGAATCAATGCTCACTGTCTCACTGTTAACTCCTGCTACTTCTTCTGCAGCATTCATCGAAACTTCAGCTGATATCCCCAGAGGATCCTCCATGAATCCTCCACGGCCTTCTGGCGAGACTGGCGTTGCTCCAACGGATGAGGGTGGTGTTGAGAACAAGTCGTTCTCGTCTCCAACGGCACTGGCAAATGAATCAAAGAAGCTCCCAGAACTCTGGATCAAGCTCTGGTCTTTAGTAAAGAAGCTGGTTACTGAAGGCTGCGTGTCCTTTACAAGTGGACCAGATTGGTCATTTTCTCTTGCTTCCTCTCCACTTCCTCCTGTCTTATCACTGGACTGTTCCATTGTACTTTGGAGTGTATCACTAGGTTTTTCCATGAAGGGACTCTCAGAAGGAAAACTTGGTGAGGAGGGCTTCTCTGCTTCACTTTGAAAGAAGAGGCTTGCATCAAATGGTTTCGGATCTGAATACAAATACAAACAAATGATTTTAAAACTTTGTAATAAAAAATGAAGAAAAAAAAATTAAATAAGCACAAAAGTGCAATCTAAACCTGTAAGAATGAGGTGCTTTGCTGTTTTGTTTTCTTTAGTTTCTTTTCCTTATGAATTACCGTATATATTTGTTTTAAATCAAGAATACTAATTTAGTATTCTTAATTCAACAAAAAAAATTCAAATACATACGTCTTTTGTAAATCAATGAAAGAGAGTACCGGTACAAGATTTATAACCACTTGAAAGGAAACACACCCGACATAGTTATCAGTTTTTACTACCTCAGCAATTTAGGATTTTTAGTTTGATAGGCGACTATTAATTGCATGTAAATGAAAAGACCGGGAAGCCAGGCTGGGAAGAATAAAAATGAAGCAGATGCATGCCAGAATTGAACCCAGAACCTTGATGATACTTTCCCTTAAGCAGCTTCTCCAAGCTAAAATGGGATAAATAAATGCCTCTTTATATGAAATACATACTTATTTACATATTATAGGACAGATGCGCTTCAGCTAGATGCCATTTTGTTTTGCTGCAGCTATATTTTTGTTGGGGGGGGGGGGTGGGGAGTTTATTGCAGATTTTAACAAGGTTGCGTCAGAAGGAATGTTCTACTCTGGCCACGTACCTGCATTCGAAGCATCACCTTCTGGAGTAGTTTTCTCAGTCCCAGCCATTCTATACCAAGTATGTAACACAAACCAAGCACTTTGTTCTGTAAATATGAAAAGAAACAAACAAAAATGCATCTAAAGTCATGTACTACGTAGATCTAGGGCCAGATCTACTCTGAGTTTGACTAAAAATGATGAAGAGAAAACTGTTTATCAATGTTCGAAATTGCTACCTGTCCTGCACGTTCTATTTTCCTGTGGGTAAAATGATTAAAATGCATTAGAAATTGTGATTTTAAGGGTCAAAAGATGTAAACAAATTAATGTAATGTCTCAGATCCTCATTACGGTTGATAACTTTACACAGGCGCGCGCTCACCCGCAACATACCACCATCAGTATGCACTTGTATTGGTTTGCCGTGAAACCTGTGAAAAAGTATATACTAATATCAACGTTTTTTCCGAAAATTACTTCAAAAATATCAAGAAAATTGACAAGAAACAGTTAAGAAAACAAAACGACTTTTAACTCGAGTCATGATCTTAAAACATTTGATGAATATTTACTTCATTTCGGGTATGTTTTAGTGGGGTATCTCCACGCCGGAGTTACGGGTCAAATTTTGGATAGGCTTCTGAACTAGCAGTTGTGTTTGAATTGTTGAGAATCAATAAAACAGCTTTTAATACACAGCCAGGATAGTAATGTAGCTGTGTGTACGTGTGGCCCCGCCCAGCCACTGAGCTGAGCTGAGCTGCGGCTCGTGCATTAGAGGATCAGGATGGGAGAACAACAACGCCGCCCTAGCTGCGGCAGGGAGGCAGCGGCTCGGCTGGTCGTATTCGTACGTGCTGCACAATCTCCGAATACAAACTACAACTACAGGTAACAAAATTAACAATAACACTTACAACAAATATTTACTGTAACTGTCACGAGTATGCCAACTATTGTACATGTGAAGTGACGTTATTTCGAAGGAAATAATTACCCAAACAGAAAATTGGAGTTACAATCGAGAAATCAGCCAACAAACAACAGCCGGTTCAGATGGGCGCATGCGCACATCGCATACGTGATATTTAGTGCTATGTTTATTACTGGTGTTGAAACATGACAGATATTGAGTGATTTCAATTAAGTTTGGTGTTGGTGTTGTGCACCAAGACCAGCTTTCGACATACACGCCCACCCCACACTTTTTCAAATATCCTACATAATTATGCAGTGCCCCTTCTACTTCTCATGATAAACTATAAATGCCCCTTTTTCTTTAATTAGAGGTTCCAATTTCTTATAAGTGCCTCTAGTGTCACCTCTGATAAGTGCCAGCCCCATTAATTCACCTATATTAATTGCCCCTTTTCAAGTCTGAGAGATGCCTTTTTTACTTTGACAAATGCCCTTTTCTTTTAAAATAAGTGCAAGTGCCCCTAATTCCCCTTGTGATAATAGGGCCCCTTTTCATCTGGACCTAGTTCTCACCTCTAATAGTTACCCCTTTTATATCATTGCCGCTCATTTCTTTGTAAAACGTGCCATTTTTAATTCTGATAAATGCCCCTTTTCTTTTTTAATGAAGAGTCGACTTCCCGTTTCTCATAAATGCCCCTTAATTCTCACACCTATAAATGCCTCTATTATAATCTCAATGAAGCCCCTTTCCATTCTCACAATTGCCCCTATTCATCTCAGTTGATGTAAGTATGTTTCTTATTAAGGATCTTTTCAGTCTTTTCAGTCTGATTAGAATGTGCTTTAAAAAAACCATCAGGGTTTTTTTGTCCATCTTTATAGTAATAATTTGATGAAACGTCAAAGCTTCGCACGGGAGGGGGGAGACTGAATTCAGACAATGACTAAGAGTAAAAAAAACAGTACAACAAATCGTCTTCTTTCTCTAATGATTTCATGAAAAGCTTCCGCGCTTCGCGCTGGAGGGACAACTGAATTTAGACTAGTATTAAGAGTCGAGAACGGTACAACGAATTGTCTTCTTTCTCTAAAAATTTAATGAAACGTCAAAGCTTCCGCGCTTCGCGCGGGATCGGCGAAAATGAATTCAGTCAAGGATTAAGAGTAATAATTAAATGAAACGACAAAGTTTCAGCGCTTCGCGCGGGAGGGGGGGGGGAGACTGAATTAAGACAATGATCAAGAGTTGAAAACGGTACAACGAATCGTCTTCTTTCTCTAATAATTTAATTAAGTGTCAAAGCTTCCGCCTCTTCACCCCCCCCCCCCCACTGAAAAGGGTCTAGCGACGCCCCTGATAACAACTCAGTTTATACACTCGAGATAATTGTTGCACTACTGGTGAAGACCAGACCACCGTCGTTGCGCATTGTGCAGCAACGAAGCATATACAACGTCTCGCGACGTGACAGATCACTTTTCTCTAACTTCTAACCAATCAGAAGGCCTCAATTTTTTCTCCAGGAAGTGCCGGTGGACATTAATGCGCCAAATGTGGTTCTCAAATTGCAAAAGATCCCTTCTGTTGGAGGGGGTAGGAGAAAGCAATTTTATGTCATATTACTCCAGGGAGTGCCTAAAATTGCTAAGAGGGGGTTCTGAAACACCTCCGCTTGGTCGCTTCGCTCCATCGTTTTTCATTATTTCACCCCATGCGATTTTGTGCCCCCCCCCCCCCCCTGACGGTAAGAAATTCCTGGATCCGCCACTGGAAACCAGGGCTTTGTTTCACAAAGCCGTCGCGTTTCAATGGATGACGATGTCTGGTTCCTGCCCAGGACCAAAATCCAATTGAAACCAGTTGAAATCTCCAACTGGTTTCAATTGGTTTCAACTGGTTTCAATTGGTTTCAATTGGTTTCAATTGGAATAGAACATTTCCAGTTGAAACCAATCGCCGAACTGGAAAATATTGTTATGGGTACTCATTTCCAGTTCAAACCAAAAAGAAGTGCAACTGGAACCAGTAAGGTAATTTTTCCAGTTACCCAACTGGTTCCAGTTAGAAGTTCAACTGGAAACAGTAAGATGATTTTCCTGTTACTCAATTGGTTCCAGTTAGAATTCACTTCCAGTTACCCAACTGGTTCCAGTTAGCATTCGTTTCCAGTTAGAAGTCATTTCCAGTTACCCAACTGGTTCCAGTTAGAATTCATTTCCAATTACCCAATTGGTTCCAGTTAGAAGTCATTTCCAGTTACCCAACTGGTTCCAGTTAGCATTCATTTCCAGTTAGAAGTCATTTCCAGTTACCCAACTGGTTCCAGTTAGAATTCATTTCCAGTTACCCAACTGGTTCCAGTTAGAAGTCATTTCCAGTTACCCAACTGGTTCCAGTTAGCATTCATTTCCAGTTAGAAGTCATTTCCAGTTACCCAACTGGTTCCAGTTAGAAGTCATTTCCAGTTACCCAACTGGTTCCAGTTAGAATTTATTTCCAGTTACCCAACTGGTTCCAGTTAGAAGTCATTTCCAGTTACCCAATTGGTTCCAGTTAGAATTTATTTCCAGTTACCCAACTGGTTCCAGTTAGAATTAATTTCCAGTTACCCAACTGGTTCTAGTTAGCATTCATTTCCAGTTAGACGTCATTTCCAGTTACCCAACTGGTTCCAGTTAGAATTCATTTCTAGTTACCCAATTGGTTCCAGTTAGCATTCATTTCCAGTTAGAAGTAATTTCCAGTTACCCAACTGGTTCCAGTTAGAATTCATTTCCAGTTACCCAATTGGTTCCAATTGGAAATATTTCCAGTTACCCAACTGGATCCAATTGAAACCAGTTAATTATTATTATGTGCTTGCAGGGGCGTAGACAACGGGGGGATGAGGGGGATGCATCCCCCCCACCTCACAAGGTGGGGGGGGGGGGGGGGATGGCATGTACAATCATCCCCCCCCCCCCCCCAGGTTTGGGGGAATGGTATTTGCTTACTTAATAAGTCATAATGATGATAATAATAGTAATAATAATAATGATAACAATTATAATATTAATAATAATAATAATTATGATGATGATAATAATAATAATCCTCATCATTATTGTAATTGTGTTTATTGTTATTAGCCGCATTCACACGGTGAAAGCCAATTCAGACGGTAAAAAAAAGAAAATCTTACAAGTATTTTGTGGTTATCTTGTGGTTTGGAAACCACAAGATAACCACAAGTTTAAACAGGCGCGGATCTACGGGAGGGGGGGGGGTTAGGGGGTTTAAACCCCCCCCCCCCCTTGGGCGGCCAAAAAAACAAACAAAGAAAAAAGAACGCACGCTGGAGAGAAACCCTTTCAAGTGCAAATATTGTGAGAAGATATTCAACTCATCTGGTAACTTAACCAAACACATGATAACTCTGGATATAACTGTGTATTTAACTGTTACTTGATTTAAAAAGACGTTATCATGCACTGCTTTTTATGGTCTCCATTGTGTTAATAGATGCCAGGAAAACATCACTTACGGGGTTCAAATAAACACCCAAAAAAAAAATCGGCTCGCCGCTTCGCGGCTCGTGGACGATGCTCTGCATCGTCATTATTTTGGTCACCCCCCCCCCTTAGCAAAAGGCTAGATCCGCCCCTGAGTCATCCCCCCCCCCCCCCCAGGTGTACGAACCTGTCTACGCCACTGTGTGCTTGTGTGCAGATCAATGTTTTATGTAATTTATTTTGATTTACAATGTACTTATTAATTAATTTTCATTTGCAAGTAATGCATTTGTTTCTAGATAAATATAAAGATTAATTAGCAATGATAAGCATGTTCATTAGTAACATATTTTTGTAATTACACAGATTAAAAGTAGATTAGTAAAACACTAACCATGTACAAAATACATCAAATACAAACATATATAATGGCAATGCCTTCCTTGTTAAGGATATTATATGGTCTGCATATTATAATGCCCTTTACATTGTACTTAGACACATATAACAATGTTTCTGTGTTGACATGATCGATAATTAGTGCAAGAGCTAATTAACTTATAACTAATTAAGTTTATGCCAACTGTAAGTTTCAATTGAAACCAGTTGAAACCAGTTGCAGTTAGGCAACTGGAACCAGTTAGCAATTGGTTTCAACTGGTTTCAATTGGAACCAGTTGTTCCAATTTCCTTATTGAAACCAGTTGGCAACTGGTTTCAATTGGTTTTGCTCCAATTGGTTTCAACTGGATTTTGGTCCTGGGTGTAATATGACGGTTCCGTACATAATGCCCAAATGCCCAGTGCTGTACCCTCTCCTTGCAGCACGTACAGTTGACTATCACAGCTAAATGGTAATCCCATACTGTATTGTAAAACACGGTCGGCATGCATGTGTTATTAGGGACTTTCAGATTTGCGTGGACTGATCGTGTGACGTCTATTCAAGGCAGTGCATTAAAAGGACGTCGATCGTAGCATAGACCTATTGCCTTCATGCGAATCTAAAAGTCCCTATTTACCGTTCTAGCTGTACTCGGCCTTCATTATTATTATTCTTTATTGTTGAGATCTGGCGATTTTCCTGACGTGCCTCTCTCCAGCATGGACATGTTGATTGGATGCAGCTAGCTGGGAAGTACGTATATAAACAATTCTTGCTTTTCTCGAGAAAGGGGCGTGGTTTGTTGCATTATGACTGAGAGGTACATGATATATTGTGAAGGTGTAGGCCTATATTATCCTATAGGCCTAATTACGTACAGCTGAGATACACAGTTGAGAATAATGTGTAGACTGATTATTATATATATATGTTTACAAATTATACCTATGCTATATGATGTATTCGTGGATGTGGATTAGAAGCCCTGCAATGTGGCAAAATATATCAACAGCTGCAAATATAAGAAAGATGTGCATTATTTGCATTTTATTTGGATTACGAGTAATATAGTCCACTAAATCTTATATCATACGATTATAAATGTGTCTGTTTGTCACGGTGGCCATGTGGGAGGGTGTAGGATGTGTATATAATTATATATATATATATATATATATATATATATATATATATATGTTTATTATGTCGGATGTCCGTGTATACGCCCCGATGAAATGAAATG